AGGCCTCCCCCCCCCCCGTCCCTCCCTTTTTCTCTGCGGCACAAGGTCGAGCCTTCCGGGAGGGGGGCGAACTGTCAGACTCATGGACTCAGTTGCCATTTTCCTGTTTTCTGTTTTAGTTTAGTTCCTGTGTGCCCTTATTTGGTTATGTTCCTGTTCTCGTTTAGTCATTATTAATTAATCCTCCTCACCTGTCTGTCCCTCATTAGCACCCCTAATTTAGTTCTAGCCTGTCCAGTTGTCCCTCGTCCGTATTAATGTTGCTGTATGTGATGTGCTACATGTGTCTCCTGTCTGCCTTTGTGGATTTACCCTCGTGTGGATTATATTAAATACTATTTGAATTCATCTCCTTCGTCGTGAGCTCCTCATTTCACCGTAGCGTGACAATCTCACAATTCTCAAAAAAGTTATTTTTTCTTCTCAAAATTGTGAGATATAAACTTGCAATTGCAAGTTATAAAGTCCAGTTCTGAATGGAAAAAAAACAAAAACAATTTTTACAATTGCGAGTAAAAAAAGTTGTATATCTAACAACTTTGACTTTATTTCTCAGAATTGTGAGATAAATATTAAGCAATTCTGACTTTATAGCATGCAGTTCTGAGTTTGTATCAGGCAATTCTGAGAAAAAAGAAAAAAATGTGAGATAAAAGGTTGCAGTTACCTTTTTTATTCTTTATTCAGCGGTGGAAATTGGCTTCCATATAGTGTGACCGTCACAAAATGACAACACATTTAACTTGGACTGGAGTTTCTGTGAATGCACTTTCATACACATACACAGACTGTTTATTGACAAGAGTTTGAGGTTGTAATTTGTATATTATGATTATTAGTTGTATAGTGAAATACCTGTTGTCTTTGTGCAGTATTGTCAGTTCCATAGCCTGAAAAACTCAGATGGTGGGAAACAGTGGCGGGAATTCTTTGTTCTGCTAAGTTTGAGAATGGTTAATGGAGAATGGGTGTTTCAGGGATAATGCAGCCGAGTTGCTCCTGTTATATTTTCCTGTTCACTGCATTGTAAATTATTATTTTTATTACATAAGAGAGTAGATTGTTAATTCTGAATGATATGATCAAATGTTTCTTCTGCACTTGAGGTTTATGGGAAAATTTTAATTGTTGTATGTCCCTTCCCATAGGGTAATGGTGCTGGCTGGCTGTCTTTGTTTAATGGAGTTAGTTTGTATTTGTTACTGCAGTGAGGAGTGTGGCCTGAGGGCTGCAGGTATTTTGTTGATGTTTTTTCTTTTGAGTTCTTTTTGGTATATTTTTGTGAAGTTTGTATTCTGCATTTTTGCTAATTTGGTGATGTTTTTAGATGAGAATTTGTCCCATTTTGTCTATTTTTTTCATGAATGTAATATTTTTGAGTCTCAGATTATTCATGTTTTTCAAGTTTGAATAAATATTAATCTATATGAAACTTTTTGTATTCTCACACTGCCTCTGTTTAATTTGGTCATCCTTTTTTTTTTTTTGGTGCCCTTTACCATTGCATATAGACTACTACACTTTTGGAACAACAGTTATTTGTGTGTGAGTGTTTTTAACTTACGATAATCATATTTTTTGGAAGCTGCATTCAAAATATCTTGAGGGAGCATGTGTCCCAGTATGAATGTGCATGATGTTTCTGAGCAGGGGAGGGGGGAGGGGAGGGGGTCATATTGTTGTAATGTTTTGCAGCTTCGGTTTTTTCCTCTGATCTTGAGAGCTATTTTTTATTGTTCTGTCCTCAGGTCTCCCAGATCAACAGTTCTGCGCTATGCAAAAAAATAAGATGAGACAACTTGGGCACTAAAAGAAAATTGGTGTTGGGAAGGAGCAGCCTTGCGCTGGACAGTTTCGCTTCATTTCCCTGCCTCCCAGGAGAATAAGCCAGACAGAGCGGTCATCATTCATTTCAAGAGATACTGCAGCAACTGACGGCAATGGAGCGGTCTCATCTGAACAACAGCTCTGGCTCTTGGTTATTAGAGGATCCCATCTGTCCAACCTCCCTCAGCAGCACCACTTTCCTCATCGTAGCATACAGCACCATGTTAGCAGTGGGCCTGGTGGGCAACACTTGCCTGGTTTTAGTCATCACACGACAAAAGGAGATGCGCAATGTGACTAACATCTTCATCGTCAATCTCTCATGCTCTGATATCCTTGTTTGCTTGGTGTGTTTACCGGTCACCATTATCTACACCCTTATGGATCGATGGATTTTGGGCGAGGCTTTGTGTAAGGTGACACCATTCGTTCAGTGTATGTCCGTAACGGTTTCGATTTTCTCCATGGTTCTCATTGCCTTGGAAAGGCACCAGCTCATCATCCATCCCACCGGTTGGAAACCAGTCGTCAGACACTCCTACCTGGCTGTCGCGGTTATCTGGATCGTAGCATGTTTTATCTCCCTTCCGTTCCTTTCGTTCAACATCCTCACAAACTCACCCTTCCACAACCTCAGTCTTCCCTTCAACCCCTTCAGCGATCACTTCATCTGCATTGAACAATGGCCATCTGAGGGGAATCGGCTCACTTATACCACAACGCTGCTGCTGTGCCAGTACTGCTTACCATTGGCGCTCATTCTCGTCTGTTATTTCCGCATATTTTTGCGTCTGAGTCGCCGTAAAGACATAGTCGAAAGGGCTCGAGGTGGGCGGCAGAAGAAGATCAAAGGCTCAAAGCGAGTCAACGCCATGCTAGCCTCGATTGTAGCAGCGTTCGCCCTCTGTTGGCTGCCACTGAATGTTTTCAACACGATTTTTGACTGGAACCACGAAGCAATTCCCGTCTGCCAGCACGACACCATTTTCTCGGCTTTTCACCTCACCGCCATGGCGTCGACCTGTGTGAACCCAGTGATCTATGGGTTCCTAAACAATAACTTCCAGAAGGAGCTGAAATTGTTGCTTTCCAGGTGCCACTGCTGGGGGCCGCCCGAGAGTTATGAGAGTTTTCCTTTGTCCACTGTCAGTACAGGCATTACTAAAGGGTCTATCCTGAGCAATGGCTCTGCTAGCACCTATCAACCACACAAGAAACACGGTTTGGAACAGAAAGAGACCATTTAAATGTGTCGGATGTACTATAAGGCAATGTACCTACCTACATTTCAAGCATTCAGAGGTGGCTTGAGAGCACTGAATTTAAGGTTTGGACCGAGAAAATCTGTGACATTCCAAGTTCTCGTTGCTAAAAGATGTCCGCTTGTCTTCTTTAAACACAGAAATGGACTGAAACATATTAAGGAAAGGCTTACTGTAGCTGGGCTCCGCAGAGGAGAACCATGTAATGAGAAATATCATCGCAAATTGCGTTGCTGTTTTAACCACTGCTAAAATGACTATGGCCAATTAAACATGCTGGTTTTGTGGCCATTATATGGTGAGTTCTCAATGGCACAGAAATAAATTTTTGCCAATTAGAGCAAGGTTTTCTCTGAGAGACATTATAATGAAATACTGAGTGAGGAGGCCTGTTCTTATCATAGTCCTTTTATGACAAGATATGTCATATGTGACTTGGTAACAAAAAAAGAAATGTACTTCTTTGGTTCTTTTCACTATTAAAGTAATAGTTCGCCTAAAGATAAACATTCTGTCATCATCACTCATGTTGTTCCAAACCTGTGACTTTCTTTCTGCTATGGAACACAAAAGCACCATAAATTATCATAAAACTAGTGCATATGACTTGTGTGCTTCATTCCAAGTCTTCTGAAATAGCCTTGACATGGAATTTATGTCATTTTTAACTGAAAATCTTCCTGCAGTGAGCTTTTAATTACTGAATCAGTAAATTGATACAGATCAGTTTGATTTGCAAATGGATCAATTAGACAGCCATTTTGATCTGATTCACTTTAAATGATTCATTGTAAACATCTGACTCAAAATAATGATTCAGTCTCTAATGAACATAGTATGGCTTCAAAAAACTCATATGGACTACTTTTATAGTATTTTGTCATCCTTTTTGAAGTTTGAAAGTTTTGGTTGCTATTTGTTGTAATTGCATGGAAAAGACCAACCTTTTGTGTTTCACCAAGGAAAGAAAGTTATACCAATTTGGAACGATGTGAACATGAGTATATTATTGTTAACTATTTCTTTAAAGGAAGGTACAGAACTAGCAATATGTGTATAATGTGTACATTTAAAAACAGATGTAATGATAATATGTAATAGTTATTATACGGCATCATGACTATATAAACACATTCTGTCATTGATTAGGAGTAGAATGTATCCTCTTTCAAACTGGTATGTACAATAATTTACACATTTTGTTGCTCTGTGTGAGAGGTGTAATTTGTTTTACTTATCTAAATGTTAGTCAATATAAACAGACTGTGTCTTTCGCGGAATGGCTTTATTTGCCAAAGCTATCCAAGTGAATTATAGATTCAGATCTTCATTTGCACTTTCACTGGACTGTGGGTCTATACTAAACTATGTGCATGTTGTAAGTAGCATTTGTAAAAATACATATACATGTTTATGTGGCCAAAACATCATCTAGTTATTAGAATATTAACACTTTGACACACTCTGCAAATGTCAGATATCTAGTAACATGTATGAAATGATCAATCAACTTTATTTGAAGTTTAATTATTATTAAAGTATTAATTATTATTTGAAGTTTCTGATCTAGTATTCACATCATTGATTTAGTAAAGTTATTTAATCAGGATTATGTTGCCACTTAGTTTAGTATACCCTTGTGAAAAATAAGTGTGCTTAATTGTATTGAATGTGAGCTTGCAGTGTTCTTAAAATATTCAAAGTAGTATACTAAAAAACTGTACTTGAAGATAATACAGTGTATTACTGATGAAATAAAAAGCCACTTAAGTGTACTTAAAAAGAGTTCACTTTCATGACTATATTTCCTAACGCACTTAAGTACACTTATGTAAAAAGTGTAAAAAGTGCATTTTGTAAAAATATTCCAAATTAAAAGTTCATTTTAAACATCGTTTAAATTTTTTTTGCCATGCTTTAAATTATGCCCCTTTTTACAATATGTAATATAAGTCTCTGGTGTCCCCAGAATGTGTCTGTGAAGTCTCAAGAAAGCGGCTGTCACAGCATGTGAGTACTAAACTAAGTTTTCATTCACACAAGTTTACGTTAAAAACACACGAGTTACAAAAACAGTCTGTGAATGGTATGTCTGTGAAGGTACACAGCTGGGAAAAAAATTGCATGTTTATTTTAGATCTGTGTGGCAGCAGCAATAAATCAATAAATCCACTGCTCTCTTGTCTCCTCTGAGGCCGGGACTTGGGCTCTAAATAGTGTTCTGTGCTCGTCTGTGCAGCCAAAGACAGAACAGTTAGCATGTTTTGCTCAAACTTTCACCATGGCATTAGAGCTGGTACACCATTGTCGCTTGCGAAATCAAATGACGGCGCTGTGGGTGGAAACTTACAGATTAAGGGGCGGTAATATTATAATGAGATCCCTTTGCAACATCACTCAGAAGCGGCTCAATTTTTCCAGACGCTTGCAGAAAAAGGCTTACCAAAACAAAGTTTCTGGGTTAATTTTTTTAAGGTTTCTTGGTTGGTAGATGCACTTGGGACGTGATTATAACACTTAAAACCTGGAAAAGTCCGATTTTCATGATATGTCACCTTTAAATAAGAACATTTATTTTAATGTGTTCACTAACATAATAAAGCACATAAAGTACTTGTCTATAGTTTTAAAGGTAGTGTTAGTAAATATTATATTTCAAGTTTGTATAGTTTAAATGTTCTAAATTGCAAGTTCATCGTTACAAATATATAAATACAAATAACGTTGTGCCTTGGTCAGTGAGGATCTCTTTCGGGATCCCCACCCGAAAGAGATAATTCGGAAGAGGGCCTCTGCCACACTCGTTGCAGAGATGTTGCGGAGGGCCACTGCCTCCGGGTATCGCGTTGCATAATCGACCACGACTAGTGCAAAGCGATGCCCTCTTGCTGACCGCTCTAATGGCCCGACGAGGTCCATGCCAATTCTTTCGAAGGGGCCACACTCCTGGAGGGTCAGCGATCTAAAGCGCTGACGATGCTGTTCTGGGCTGCGGCCCACCCGCTGCAGGATGGCCTTCTTGAGGTCTTTGTAGGCGAGGAGGCTCTGCACTGGCAACTGTCGAGCCGCGAGCTGGGCCTCTCCTGACAGCAGTGGAATCAACCGAACCGCCCACTGATTCGGGGACCACCCACACGCCTTTGCGGTGCGCTCGAACAGCTTGATAAATGCCTCCGGGTCGTCCTCAGCACCCATCTTCTGCGGCGGGACATGCGGAGGCGGGGTGACGCTTGGGGTGGTGCCACCCGCCCCCTGGGCCAGCACACTACACAGCAGCTGTCGATCCTCGTGCACACCACGCAGCAGCTGTCGATCCTCGTGTTGCACCTCGAGGAGAGACCGAAACCTCTGGTCCTGCTCCTCCCGGAGCTCCAGGAGAGCTTGATGTTGTGCATGGTGGAGGTTGGCGAGGGACTTGACCAACTCCCCCAGCGGCGCGGACTCCATGACAGCGTATTCCCTCCGAATTTTCTCCCGGGTTTCGGCACCACTGTGACAAACTCTTGTCGTCCCGGTGTAGAAATGAGGGAATCAGGGTCTGAGATCAGTTTGTGCACGCGAGTGCGCCCTTTTTATTGACACCTCTTTAACGAAATCAAAACAAAACAGAAGCACGAGGGCTTTTCAGCCTCCACTCAAACAAACTAAGAAACGGTTGCAACCAACAGTGGTTTCTTTTCGGGCAGGGCACGAGACAGCATGGCACGCTCCCCAGGCACTCCCCCCCACTCTCTCCAAGCCCTGCTTTTTATCCTGTCTCTCGACTCACTGCAAAATGAGAACACCTGTTAGATTCAATTAACGAGAGGCGTTTCCCTTAACCATCAACTCCCCAGCACTCCTTCTCCGTCTGCAGAGGCCTTTAAACCACTCCCCGCTTTCCACAATATTACATGCAAGTTTCAGTAGGGATGTTTTAGTTTAACATAAATGCAGTACATTTTAACCGTATTTCAAATACAACAGATATAATTATGTAATTACATATAAAGATATGTTTAAGTCCTACTTAAAAGTACTTTTATAAATAATTGTATTTAATATAAATGTAAATATGTAAGTATTTTATTTACATTTTTATTTAATTGCAATGACCATGCAATTAACTTCAGTACACATTCAGTTCACGCTTAAGTTTATTGTTTTAAAATATTATTCCTGTGCTCTTATAACTGTATGCTAAAGTGTACTTCTTTTTTAACAAGGGTATTCTTCAACACTGATCATTATACACATACATATCTTGCCATCCTTATGTATTTTCTTGTGGCATGTTTGTTAAAACAATGTACAGGGTTATGTGTCACTGTACAGCCAACCATAACATGCTGCTATTGCCCTGTCCCAACTGACAACCTCATTTTTGTATTTCTCCTCATAATCTATATTTTGGTGACATAATGCCACATAAGCTCAAAAAAAGTAGTTCGCTGTGAAGGTTGTGAAAGGACACATAGAAAACACAACAAATGCATGACAAACATAACATCCTATGGCACAAACTCATGCAATGAAGGCTATGAAGTCACAGGTCCACGTAAGTGCATCATTTAAGACAGGGCCTGAGTTCTCACTGATAATATATAGCTTGATATTAATTGATTATTTCCTTACCGCTTAGTTCTTTTACAGTTAAGTCCTCAGAGACACACTGCTCTTCTGATTTATTAAGCAAAGCACTCATCAAAACATAGCACTGATAGCACATTGACTATATAGCGTTTGTTCACTTCTGACACATACTATATAACTGTAAGTTTATTCGTATTGATCGAATTGATTGTGTTTTGCTGAAATGGTCCATGGTGGTTTTAGGGCCTGACTGAGTGGGGAAATTTATGTTTTAACTATACTAGCTTGAGTTTCCCAAAAGCAGGGTTGCATCGAGAGTGAAAGGCATTAATGTGTGGCCATAAAAAACATCGTAGCCATTCACCTGGAAAAGTTAAACATTCAGACACCATTTACAAAGATATTTATGGTGT